GCACCGCCCCTTTTATGTATACCCCTTGCTAATATGTTTCCAGCAACTTCATAATGTTCTTTAAAACTTTAAAACTTTGCTTCACTCCAAGGAGTAGCCAGAGAGGTTCACAGAGGTGAAGTAAGCTGCTCGGGGTCATGCCATTACTTAGAGTGGCAGAGCCAGGACTCAGCCCAGGCCTAGTCAAAGCCCACACACCTACGACACCATTAAACATGACTTGCACTTTCTCCTTAATTTTCACCTTCCTACTCAGTTCTCTGGATCTAAACTGTCCCATGACTGGTATTCTAGTTACAGACCTTTCACATACTTTCACCTGTAGAGGCAGCTGAAGCAAGAATTTGCCTGAGGCAAAGCACAATATTGGCCTAGAATAATCTGCAAAATGGGCACCAACAGAGCTACCCTTTGAGGTGAGGTGATGAAAGATCCTAAATGAGGGCAGTGGGGACCCCGAGAGGATGAGGCTTCCTCACCTTGGGGTACCCAGCTGCAGGAAATGAGCAGGGTCTTGGGCTCAGGGAGGCTGAAGGTACTGATTCACTTCATTTACAAGATGCAAAAAGCTGTTTTTCCAGTTGCTACTGGGATCATTGTTTTGACCTCTAATCAGCAATGGCAAAAACTGCAATTTAAAAAAAAAAAAAAAAAAAACCTGTAGCTTGAGACAAGTAGTTCTCTTATCTTAACTTGCTCTGACCCCAAGATAATCACAAGGTCAGCTCTGAACTTCCAAAAGCCAGCTTCAGCCAAGGCCAGAGGGAGACCAGCTCTACAGGCTTGTCTCAGGCCACTGAAGGGATATTTTTTCATTTCAGATCACAGAGGGGAAATAGGCAGTGACAGCAAACTACAACAAACTTTCCCTTTAGCTGAAATTCTAACTGCCATAACATCAGATGTCAATCCTAGTCAGCTTGCTGTTGACACTGCATGAGTCCTGCCCCTTTCTGTATAATACTTCAATCACTCATCAACTGCACTTGTATATTGCACTTTATCATCTAGGAGAAACCTCTGGGGCCACAAAGGCCTTCTGAGGGAGGCCAATCTCTCTGTGGACAGGGGGTCACTTGTCCCAAACAGAAATATATTCTTTGATGTGGACAGTAATTCAAACCTTTTCTCAATCTTTGCTAAATGTGAGTGAAAGCATCCTTGCTACTTTTATTGATCTGTAAAAACACACACCCCTGGACTAATCTGCTTGCTGTGCAAACCCGGCAGGGAGGTGACTGCTACTCCCATACAGAAACTCTGTAGCTATCACCTCAGTGAATACTTGACAAAGGTTAGCAGAGAATGATAACAGAGAACACAGCAAAATAACTATTTTTTTTCATTTTGTTTATTTTTTTTATTTTGAACAGTAGGTTTGACGCTCCCCCTTCCTTTTGGGAGAGAAAAGGTTTGAGTAAGGTAAAACATGTTCTCCAGTCCAACCATGGGTTCCAATCTGTGCCCAGCTTCTCAGAACAAAAGTGCCCACCCCACGGGTTCTCAGGGGGCTACTTGATCTGACTAGTAAAATTAAGAGATTTTACTTTGAGTGGTAAACACACAATGCAATATACAGATGATGTATTATAGGACTGTACACTTACAACCTATGTAATTTTATTAACCAATGTCCCCCCCAATAAATTTAATGGGGGGGGGGATTAAAACTCCACTTTAAAAATGCCACACAGACCTTCCATCCTACATCTTTCAAACTGAATGTGGCTTTTTCTCCAGGGTTACACAGAGGGTTTAAAAGGGAAAATTATATTAGAAGAACTTTATTTTATGATCACAAAGTTAAATGAGGCATTAGAGATTACTGAACCCTACCTCCTTATTCTTAGTACCATGCCAAAAATGACTGAGGACTTATGGGATAAAAGTTTCAAACGATTCTGGGTGAATTTACCAATAATAATAACAATAATAAAGGGGGCGGGCAGAGGTAGTGGTATTCAACTTATGAATAAAAACAATGAATCCTTCCTTCCATTTACATAAGGTACCTAACCTGCAACTCGCAGAGACGGAAGTAGAATGGCAGTTGCTAGAGGCTGGGCAGAGGGGGGGAATAGGAAGTTAGTATTTTATGGGTACAGAACTTCAGTTTTGCAAGATGAAAAGAAATGAGTTCTGAAAATGGATGCTGATGATGGTTGCATAACAATGTGAACATACTTAATGCCACTGACCTGTACACTTAAAAAGAATAAAGATGGCCCTGGCCGACTTGGCTCAGTGGATGGAGCGTCGGCCTGTGGACTGAAGGGTCCCGGGTTCGATTTCGGCCAGGGGCACAAATGAGGGCATTGTGGGCTCGATCCCCAGTGGGTGGTGTGCAGGAGGCAGCCTATCAGTGGGCTCGATCCCCAGTGGGTGGTTGTGGGCTCGATCCCCAGTGGGTGGTGTGCAGGAGGCAGCCTATCAGTGATTCTCTCTCATCATTGATGTTTCTATCTCTCTCCTTCTCCCTTCCTCTCTGAAATCAATAAAGAAATATATATTTTTTAAAAAGAATAAAAATGATAAATTTCATACGTATTTTACCAAAAAAAGTTTAATTAGGAGGTGGGGGAGGAGAAATCTCTCAACCTGCTAATTTTTATTTGGGGACCAGCATGACATAGTGGCTAATAACTAGGAACTCTGGAGTTTTTTTCTTGTTTATTTTTTTAAATATATATTTCTTTATTGATTTCAGAGAGGAAGGGAGGAGAGAGAGACAGAAACATAAATGATGAGAGGGAATCATTGTTCGGCTGCCTCCTGCACACCCCCTCCAACCCAGGCATGTGCCCTTGGCAGGAATCGAACCTGGGACCCTTCAGTCCGCAGGCTGACACTCTATCCACTGGGCCAAACTGGCCAGGGCAAGGAACTCTGGAGTTCTGAGTTTCTCTCTGTGTTCTGCATTTACTAGCTGGGAACCTTTGAGCAAGTCACGTGACATCTCTGAGACTGTTTTTTGTTTACAAAAATGGAAATAATAATAAAAGTCTCCTACCTCATAGGCTATGAGGATAACAGAAGAAGGAAACTGAATTTTATTAGCACAAGAGTGAGCACTTGCTAAAATGAGTTACTAAAAAGTTAGCAATAATTAAGTGATAAAATTACTAATATTATCAGAGAGATCTCTACGAGCCTGAAGAAACTTCGCTTTACAGGAAAAAGAAGCCCAGCTTAGGAGTCAGAAGACGGGCTTCAAGAGTGGCTGTGGGTGTGAGACTTCTGTGACACACAAGGGGTGACAAAGATGATCTCTTAGATTACCAGGAAGCCAGATCAGCTTTGTTGCTTGGCGGGAACCAGCCCTGGCAGCACCTTCCTCACCTCCTAAGCTTCTCGGGAACGTGCCAGGCGAGGGAAGGGGTCCAAAGGTCGTGCCAGAGAGGGCTGATAGCAAAGCCCCTTCCTAAGCCCGAGGTGGCGACATAGTGCCAGGTTGTGCAAGACACCTACGCATTGGGAGCAAGGGTTCCGCACCCTCGTTCCTCCCCTGCCAAAGCCTGCAACTCTGCCTGCTGGGAGAGCTGCAGGAAACTGCAAACTCCTCAGGTGCAGCAGAGACCCCCAAGAAAAGGCATCCCCAAAACAGCCTGGGTTGCAGAATTATAAATACCTCCTCTGCACATGCGCACTGAAATTTGCGAGCGTCCCGGAGCACAACCGCGCCCACTGCGCCTGCGCCGTCCAGCAGTCCTTCGGGCACAGGACAGGAAAGGGGGATCTCGTGGACCCACGAAAAAAGAGTGGGTTTGCGGTGACCGTATCCTCATTTCTTACCTCGTAATGCTTCATGATTTCCTCACACGGCGGCTACTGCTCCTGCTGCTACTGCTGCTGCTGCTGCCTCCCAGCACGCAACGCAGCACAGGTCCCTCACGCGCTCACGACTGCTGCGCGAGACTAACCACGGCTCCGCGTCCGCCCCGCCCCTCCCTGCAGCGCGTGCCCTTCCAGCCAATCAGCGTGTAGGGCGCCCACCTTCGTCCCTTCCCCACGGGGCTGGTCTGAGCGTAGACAAGCCGCTCTCACCATAATGCTAGCCAATCAGATTGCGGAATCCATCGAGGGGGCGGGACGCGGGCACGAAGTGGGCTAGAAAGAAGGGGCGTGGCCCTCCACCAATCAAAATGGATCTCGAGGCCGCGCGCCCCTTTCCCCGCCTCTTGATGGCGTCGCTGTGGAAACGAAAGGAAGCGACGGTTACTGCAAGGCGGGGGCGGGAGCAAGAAGTTGAGTGACAGGGAGGGCAGCATCCACAAGGCGGGCGGCGAAGCTAAGTGAATTCCGAGGTTGGCGGGCCCTGGGGTACTGGGGAGCAACGGAAGAGGTCTAGGGGTTGGGGGCGTAGGCTGAAGCGCTGGTATGGAGAGGCCTCTCTGGCGAGGAGACCCCTATCTGTCATGAATGGGAGGGAAGGAAAGGGGAAATGGGTGGGGGAAAGCACCCTGAGACCCTCCCAATCTGTAACCAGGGGGTGTCTTCACTGCCCTTTTTAATGCAAGCCCCGTCCCCCTGTGGCAGGGGACCCACATTTGTTTCCGCCTGCGCTGTCCGGTATGGTCACCACATGAAGCTGGTGAGCCCTTGAAATACGGCTGGTCCAATTTGAGATGTGTTGTATAAATGTCAGACACATCAATTCCAATGACAGTATGAAAAGGAAATAATTTTTTTTAATCTCATAATAACCGTTTATGTTTATTACACCTTGAAATGATAATATTTTGGATATATTGGAAGAAGATATATTTCTAAAATTAAGTTCCCCTGTTTCATTTTACTTTTTTTTTTTAACAAAGTACTTTTTTTAAAAAAAAATATATTTTATTGATTTTTTACAGAGAGGAAGGGAGAGAGATAGTTAGAAACATCGATGCGAGAGAAACATCGATTAGCTGCCTCCTGCACATCTCCCACTGGGGATGTGCCCACAACTCAGGTACATGCCCTTGACCGGAATCGAACCCGGGACCTTTCAGTCCGCAGGCCGACGCTCTATCCACTGAGCCAAACCGGTTTCGGCCAAAGTACTTTTTTTTGGTGCTATATTTTTATTAATTTCCAAGAGGAAAGTAGAGGGAGAGAGAAATAGTAACATCAACCATAGGAGAAAATCATTGATTGGCTGCTTCCTACACGCCCCCCACTGGAGACAGAGCCGGCAACCCCAGGATGTGCCCTGACCCAGAATCCAACCATGACCTCCTGGTTCATAGGTCCACGCTAAACCACTGAGCCACTCATCTTACTTTCTTAACGTACCTATTGGAACATTGAAAATCACAGACAGCTCCCATTTATGGCTGGCAGTTGTGCCTCATACGCGCGTGCGCATACACACACACACACACACACACACACACACACTCATGCATACATTTCTGGACAGGCTGAGCGGGCAGCGCCTGGTACACTCCCTCACTTTCTCTTCTTTCTCCCAGTTCCAGGCCTGCCCTGAGCCACCATCAACTTGCATCATTGGAAACCCATGATGATCTGATATCAGGGACATGGTGAGAAGTCCTCAAAGGTAGACCTCTGAGTCATAGGGTGGGGCAAGGGTGAGTCATTGCTGAGCCCTTAATCATCCAGGTTGGTTCTAAACACTCTGAAGCTACAACTTTGGGGGACTTCTAAGTAACAGCAAAGGCTGTGGTCTTCAGAAACTGAAACTACCTTTTTTACTCGGCCTATCTGGACAAAACAGATGAAAACACAAAGGTGTTTTATAACCGCACTTTCAAAAGCATCAATTTTATTCTGTTAGTAGTTGGGGGGCTCACAGTATCTTGAAACCTTTGTGTCCTAACCAGTCTCATTTGCTGCCCTCATTGAGGGGAACAATGGGAGTACTCACTCCGAGACCACATCTTAAAATCCTACCAAGTTGAATTACTTGAGATGTCTAATTGTGAGGTACTAAGGGGTTAGAGTTGAAACCCTAAAATCTAGCCATGTTTTGCTACTTCGCCAGTTCTGTCAAATTCTAGTTTCTCCAGTGTAGTCTGAGTAGGCGCCTCTTCCGTATCACTAGGTTCCAGCTAGGTGAGGCTTGTGGTGTCCTGACCAAATAGATGGCATTCTTGGGGGAATTCTGTACACATTCCTAGGGAGTTGGAACATTCTGGAGTTCCCCTTTTGAGATTGCTTTCCTGAGCCCTGCACTCACTTAACAGGAACCAACTCATTTTGTGAACCTACTATGCTCTGTGCCATATGGGGCATACAAATAATTTCCACCCTGCTCACCCACAAGAAGTTCATAGAAAGGCAGGAGCAAGCCTCCAGAGGAGAAAATTCCTCTTTATTTTTGACAAGTATTGAAGGAGTAAGGACCTCTTGTTGGCTTCATCTGGCTTCCAGTAACCAGCTGTCAGCAAAAATCAAATCCACCCTTGGAATGAAAATTGGCCACTTTGTACAGCCATTCATGACACTGTACTGTGGCTCTGGCTGTGCCTGTCATTAGGGACAGCTAAATCATGCTTGTGTTATTAGCCTCAGTGGGTAATAACAGTGACAAGTAGACACATTTGGTGTTGCTGAGCTGACTGTAACAAGCCCCTGGGAGCAATTTCCAAAGAGGAAATTCCAGACAGATCTTGCATTTAGCAGCGCTGAAAGATAAGTGGGGCCTCCTGGGATCTTGGACCTGGGGGAACCCACAATAATTTGGACACCAAAGATCTGGTGTGTTCAGTTGTATCCAGCTCACAGGTTCTGTTTGCATCCCACACATGGGTTAGGTAGGATCTTGATTGTCCAGAACCTGGCTTGGCTGGTTTGGGAGTGCATGATAGAGCTGGTTCGAATTGTGAGGGAAGGTGAAGCAAAGAAAAGACAAGCTAGGGCTGGTTAGCAACTTTCTGCTGTGTCAGGAGCCCCAGAGAGAGGTTTCCCAAGCCCTGCCCTGATTTGCATTTTTTATTGTGAAGCCCATGGGATGTTTATTTATTTATTTTTATTATGGTATAATATAGATACACCTTTTTCAGTTTATAGTTCTGAATACAGATAGTGGTATAACCACCACCACAGTCAAGATATAGAACATTTTCAGCATCCCAAAAATCTCTCCTATACCCCCTGTAGTAGATCCCAGCCGCCAACAACCACTTTCTGCCCCAATACTTTTGCCTTTTCCAGAAGGTGCTATTAAATGGCATTACACAGGAAATATCGTTTTGAGTCTGCCTTCTTTCACTAACCATGTATTTAAAGTGCATCTGCATTAGTTCCTGTATCAGTAGCTTGTTTCTTTTTTATGGCTGAATAATATTCCATCGTGTTGCTAGGTCAGTTTGTTTATCCAATCACCCACTGAAGGACATTTAGGTTTTAATGGCTGTCAGTAATTATGAGTAAAACCTTGATAATTATTGGTTCATGGGTTTTATGTGAACATAGGTTTTTATTTCACACAGGTGTTCTATCAAGGGTGGGATTGCTGGCTCATATGGCAGTTGTGCTTTTGAAGGCCTTTTTGATGAAGAGAATTGAAAAGAGTGGTGATGCACTTTTTTTATAATTAAGGCTTTATCATCATCTGAATCATGTCTTACACAAGCTCAGTGCTTATCAGAAAGCACTCATTGTGCTAAACATGCTACACTTCAGCATCTTATTCCCTGGGTGACCTCAGGCAAGTCACATGACCTCTCAGAGCCTCGACTGTAAAAAGAAGGTTAACACTAGGCCAACTTCCTAGGATTATTGTGAGGATTAAATGAGTTAATACACACTGACCACTTGAAAATGGCTTGGCACATAGTTAACTGTTATTATAATGTTCATTTCCTGGCTCCTCTTAATTCCTTCCACATAGTAACCTTGGGTGGTAAGAGCTACTCTTATCCTCATTTTATGGAGGACACACCTAACACTCTGAGAGATCAAGCAAGTTATGTAAGATGGCACAGGTAGTAAATGAGTAAATTGTGGGTCTGGGATTTCAACTGAGGCTAACTCCAGACTCACCTGCTTAGTTCCTATATCAGTCAGGGGTCTACCAAGGAACCAGAACCAGTGGGCTATATGTGTTTGTCAGTGTGTGAGTGTATTAAGAGATTTATTTTAAGGCATTGGCTTACACGATTATGGGGAGTGGCAAGCTAGTCTGAAATCTGTAGGGTAGACCAGCAGGCTGGAAACTCTTGGCCAGAAGCTGATACTTCTTCCTCGGGGAAACTTCAGTATTTTCATTTATAGTTAATTTTTGTTTTTTTTTAATTCTTTTCAATTACAATTTACATTTAATATTATTTTGTATTAGTTTGAGGTGTACAGCATAGTGGATAGACAATCATATACTTCACAAATGTTCCCCCTGATATTGCCAGCACCAAACTGTCACCAAACATACTTATTACAATATAATTGACTATCTTTCCTATGCCTTACTTTACACCCTCATGATTATTCTGCAACTACCAATCTGTACTTCTCAATCCCTCCGCCTTTTTCACCTAGTCCCCCAACACTCTTCCCCTCTGAAAACCATCAGTCTGTTCTCTGTATCTGAGTCCTTTTCTGTTTTGTTTATATTGTTTTTTAGATTCCATATATAAGTGGAATCATATGGTATTTGTCTTTCTTTAACTGACTTATTTCACTTAGCACAATACCCTTTAGGTTCATCCACACTGTCGAAAATAGTAAGATTCATTCTTTTTTCATGACTAATATTCCATTGTATATATGTAACACAGCTTTTTTAATCCAGTCATCTATTTTTAATTTATTTTTGTTAATCCTCACCCAAGGACATTTTTCCCATTGATTTTTAGAGAAGAGTGGAAGGGAGAGAGAGAGGGAGGATTGGTTGCCTCCTGCACGTGTCCTAACCAGGGCCGGGGATTGGACCTGCAACCCAGGTACGTGTCCTTGACCAGAAATTGAACCTGAGACTTTCAGTGTGCAGACTGACACTCTGACCACTGAGCTCACTGGCCAGGACATATCCACTCATCTATTGATGGGCACTTGGGTTGCTTCAACAGCTTGGCTGTTGTAAATAATGCTGCAATGGACCATAGGGGTGCATCAGTATTTGTCTTAAGGCCTTTCAGTATTTGCTTTTAAAGCCTTGCAACTGATTGGATGAGGCCCACCCACATTATGCAGTGTCGTCCCCTGCACTTAAAGTCAGCTGATTGGTAATATCTACAAAATACCTTCATAGCAACACTTTGATTAGTGTTTAATTGAACAACTGGGTAGGAACTTTGGAAGCTGTCACATTTGTAACTCTAAACTAAATTTATCCTATAAAATAAATACTAGCTTATAAGTATGAGGAAGTCCTGAAACTCTGGGTTTTTCCCATAATGTGACTCTTCTGCTGTCCATTTATGTAACTTTTTAAAAATCAAACTCTCTTTCTCCCATGATTGGTTCATGCCCCCCGCTATGCTGTGCCAGTGGACACCAGCCCATACCCAGCCTCCCAGGCTGGCAGTGTCCTAGCCCCCGGGTCCGTGAGTGGCCATGGAGGGCTGGAATCCCCCTACTAGACCACAGGGAAGGCCAGCGTCATCTTTTCGGGAGTCTCAGGTTGCATAAGGATAGCAGTCATTGAACTTTTTGTTGTGGTGTTACCAGGAAGCTGGTGGTTCAGCAGCCCCTCACTCGACAAGAGGGTTTGTTACCTCGCTGAGAGCACTTCCTCTGTGCCAGGCCTGTCCCAGGCACTTTACAAAGGTTGACTCATGTCAACTTCAGAGCTCTATGAGGCAGGAGCAACCACCATCCCCATTGTACAGATTAGGAAGCTGAGGCCCAGAATAGCTCGCTGGGTAAGTAGCCCGAGGTCATGCAGCCAGGAAGTGCTGGAAGCAGAAATGAAACCCAGCTGTCTGGCTCGAGAGCCGATGTCACACCTCCCTGACCTCCCAAGCAGTACTTCCAGGAACCGGCCCCTCGGGGGGGCCCCCACTGCCTGCCCCCTCTTCCCGATGCCCTTCCCAGGCTATCCCTTCCTGAACCTCCTTTTCCCATCAGCCCTGTCTTGGACCACAGGCACCCCAGACTCCCAGAGCCAAAAGGAACCATGTCACCCGCAAAGAAGGAAACAGGCCCTGAGAGGTGTCGGACACACTATGTTCCCCAAATCAAAAGGTAGTGGAGAGAGAAAAAGAGGAGGTGCATTCAAAAGAGCCGAAAATATTCATGAAGCGTCCACTGCAACCGAGTGCCAGACACTGTTCAAGGTACCGCCGACCCCGCACTGACAGGTCCCAGGGCCTGCCCCGGTGGGGTCGCAGGCTGAGAGCAGGTGACATTGGTCGTGGAAACCAAGATAATTTCAGATGTCAGTGGCACGTGTTCTTGGGAAAACGGTAAAGTGAAAGGCCCGGGAGCAGAGGGACTGGGAAGACCTCCCGGGAGGTGAGCTTTCCCAGGTCCTCGCCTCGCTTTATAGGGCTTGTCTGACCGGACAGGGACAGTCCTGGGGCTCCGAACCGCACGCTCCTCGCCGCCGGGAAAGAGGGAGGATGAGACAGGAGGAGGTTCAGCCACTTGCCCAGGGTCTCCCGTCAGGACCCGACCGGGCGTGGCGGACCCGCACGGTTACCTTCTTCTTGGAAGGGGCGGGGCCTCCACAGCCCC